TACCATTTCATAATTGCTTACTACAGCTAGCACAGTGGAGACCCTGGCAATAAAAGTAGCTACTACAGTTAGTTAATCTTTCATTCTATTGGGCAAGATAAATTTAATTCAGTAGTTATATACATCTCAATTGGCTTTGAAAATTATAAATTTATAAACTCAAGTTCCAGTTGCTTTTGGGATACTATCTTACAAGGACTCCAACGTACAGTATAGCCCAATAAGGCAGGGAATGGCTCAGTTGCCTTTAGCCTACTGGCTATGGGTGAGATAGGACCTCTGTTGGTCTTTTCTGTATCGAACACACAGATTGCAAGCCTAGTGCCACTTTGAGATCTTTGGCAGCAATTAACCATGCAGCTCACACAAGATTGAGCCAGTATGATAATGAGTATTCAGAGACGGGTAATGCCTGGGGGGCACTCACCAACTTAAGACAGAGCACCTGTGTGGCCTGGGCAGGCCTCTCCATGACGGGTAAGGTGACCTGCTGACATCCCACACAACCCAAGTCAGAAGCTCATTTTTTAATAAAAGGGCCCCCGTTTTGGGTAACTGTTGCCTTGCTTGCGAACCTTGACCTTGATATCCTCCCAATGCTAATTCCCTGCCAGGTTCCACCCTCCTGAATGCTTAAGGTAAGTTCCTTGTCTGTGTATCCTGAATAATGGGTGTTAACAGCTTAGATGCAAGATTGTAAAACATCAGTAGCAAACTTCTGCCCTCCGGGGTCCTCCCATTGTGCTATAAGCCTGTAATTAAGACCTCCTACCCCTTCAAGAAATGGCATTTGACATTTAAAATTAAGTATATATGTATTATATACATATATATGTAATTGAATGAATACTGCGAATGTAATCTATGAATACCACAAATGTGATTAATATCCTGAGTGTAATTTAATAAATAAATACATTTTTAAAAAAAAAAAAAAAAAAAAAGAGCTGCCAAGAAAGGCGAGCTTCCTTTCATGGAAGCTCTAAAAATTGGATCAGGTCTTCCTTGGAATTGTTGGGATATAGAAGGACAGAAGTTGCTGACTTGCAGGGACAGATTTCTTGTCTGAGGTCATTGTGGCCCACTAGTCACGGGCCTTGGTGTTTGCAGAGGGCTGAGGAGGAACTTAGGCGGCTGTAGGGGTCTTGAAGTCAGAGCAGGCTGTGTGAGAAGGAAATAACTGTCTGGTACATTGACTACTGTTCTTGTTTTTATCTTTTTTGCGAAATTGCATGTTGCTATCCTCTGGGTCAAGTGCTCAGAAGATTGTATAATCATTAATAATAAAAGTAGATTATGCTTGCTTTGGTGTTAAGTCTGGGATAGTTCCTGTGTTTAGTAAAAGATAATGAAGAATATATTGGTGATTTTCTAAGAATAATCTTTGGAATCATGAGAACATTTTGTATTGAGTGATTTCCCCTTTTCTTTCTGTTCCCCCTTGCTTATGATAATAAAAGACTGAGGTTACCAGGGCAAAAGCAGAAGCTAGGGACGCTAAAGAAACTGGAGCAAAGAAGCTACTTAGCAACTGCAGAAGCCCGAAGTGATCTGTCAGCTTGCACAAGCATTGTCTTTTAGTCATTACTGTGCCTTCCAGGTATTCCATTCTTCAGAACCCCGAAACTGCTGAGGCTGGTCCCCAGCATGACAAGAAAAAAAAATGACAGATAGAATCCTAATTCCTTAATAAGACATTGAAGACTCGCCACCACATTGTTCCAAACCTATTTCTCAACTTATTACTCCCTCAATCTCTTCTCTCCACCATTCCTAAGGCCTTAGAAGCCCATAATTAGTAACACTGGGTTGAATGCTGTGGCTGAACATGTATACCATGGACCAAATCTCTCAATACTGTATTTTCTCACATAGCTGCACATCAAATGGCTGAACACCCTGAGTAGCACACAACTTCTTTCTGTTGTCTCAATGCAGGAACTGCAGACTAGTCTAAAGAGCCACCCATGTGTCGGTCTATCCCTCCTGACAGCCAGTATACCCCAGAGAACAGTTGCATGGTCATGTTCATGAATCCAGTGCAGGAAAAGGAAAACCAGTCTGACCACTCTCACTGGAGTTCACATTTATCCCATCAGGAAATTCAGTTTCCCAAGTGAACTAACTAGTGGGTAGGCAAGCTAATTTCATCTCAAAGTTTAAAAACAATACATGTTTAAGCAAGCCTCTCTATCTGGATAGTCAGATTTCTTATTTCCTCTTCCTTCTGATATCCCCTGGTATTAGGAAATTACAAGGACAATCTCATGACCAAGGATGATCAAAGTAAGTTCTCAACTGGCAGCCCTTGAATCTTCTGGGAGTTTGGCACATGTCCAAATTCTCAGGCTTTGATTGGATAATACAAAGCCAAGGTGGAGTCCAGCAATCTGCATTTTCAGACAGTGTATACACAAAAAGAGACAAAGGGATTAGATCAGGAATTTTTGAACTTCAGTGCAAAAATGCATTCTCCGGGGATCTGGTGACAAGGCAGATTTTGATTTAGTGGGTCCAGGGAAGGGACTTTGCATCTGTATTTCTCACCAAGATGTAGATGTTGCTGGCTAAAGAGCATCAAAGTCTCCAACAAAGGCAGCCCAAGAAGGAAGCAGATCCTTCTAGCTCTCAGAGCTACCCACAAAGAGCAGTTTCTGCTCAGAATGTCAAGCTCAATTTTTATTTAATGCATATGAGGAAGAACTATTTCATTCCTCGATGAGCTAATTAGCTCTTACCACATGCCTTTTGCTGACATCCCCGATAAACCATTTAAAGACAAGACAGAACATGCAGATTCTTGTGAGCCCCTTGGAAGTGGATTCACGAGACTCACTTGTTTCCCCTCTTGTGCCTGTAATAGGCCTGTTTAATAGATATTTGCTTACTGAATGGATGGATGATATTTAAAGGTCATTGCCACTAAGCAACAAGATACAACATTCCATATGTAGTTTGTGGAAAATGGAGGGATTGTTTCCCCAGGTATCAGATGGCTTCCTCTGTAAAAAGAAAGCTAAAAGGTAGACTGAACAAGAGGCTTCTCTTGATTAGAGTTGGAAGAAAAGAAGATAATTAGCAAGGAGTGGCAATGCTTTGCTTTTATTTCTGCAGCTCTTATTAGTTAATGTGGTTGTTTGTGGGAGCTAAAAATAATTACACTAAATTCACATTTCACTGGCCACCCGTGCAGGGCGCTTACTTATCTGTCAGCAATAGTTACTGTAAAGTGAAGTAAAATCGTATCAGCAATGAGTTATAGCACTATATTAAATAAATCATGCCACCAAAGAAACAACCAGAGCTTAAACTGGAACAGCCAAGGTCTTAGATATTTGTGGAATTGACATTATAGACTATACATGAGGGAATATGATCAATGACAGTATGTATTGTGCATATTTCTTCCTCCTTAAGAGCATAAATATTTCCACTTAGTCACATGAATTTGGGCTGTCAGGGCCTAGATTTATAGGAAATTGAGATGAATGGGACCACATGGAGGGCTACTAAAAAAAATAATGGAGTCACAGTTACCTTCAAACTCTAGAAAATAACACACACTTTTAAAAATATAAATACATTCCAGACATTGCAGTGTTGTTCATATGTCCCTGGGACTCTTATGTTTCTGATGTACTGAATCTTATCACACTTGGGCTTAGAAGTTGGCACCTACAGTCCTGGCAATCTTTGGAAGTTGAACCAAGAAAGCTGTTTGGG